AAATTTTAAAATTAATTCTTGGAATTGTACAAAAATTTATTGAAATTTAAAATGGATTTGTGTTATATTTTACAATTTACTGAAAAGATATTGGTAATTGTACATGACTGCTCAAAAATAATTAGACCAACGTACGAGTATACAGCCATCTTTAATACTGTAGTAAAGAAATATAATTCAAAGGTGTCTTGATTATTGTCTTGTATAATTTCGAAAGTATTTTTTGAACCGAAATTTTAAATTTTATTAAAAGTCAATGGGTACATATCTATTCTTTGTTTTTTTACAAAATTTTGAATAAATTCATGAAAAAAGTTTTTCATTAAATATTTCTTGGTAATGCGTAGTTCAAATCACGTAACATGATTCTTCAAATTTAAAGCTAATTTTGTTATATAATTTAATTAGTGGTAATTTTAATAGCGAATAACTTTTATGTAAGTTGAAATTGTTCCATTTTGATGGTTCACTGTACTCAAAAAATATATGTAGAATCTATTTGCTATTTCGGTAGACGAAAAACGACGAAGGCTAATTTTTCCAACCTTAAAAATTTACAGACTAGTTTTTTTTTAATTTTTACAAACGCGACGATTTTCAATGTGTCCCAATACTTAATAATAGACATAATGTATAAATAAATGTAAGTTGGAAACTTAAAGTTTTATATGTTATTTCACAAACAATTGCCTTCATCTATTTGTCTTTTTTTAATTACGGAGTATACCTACGTTCTTTTTTTGCTTATATTTAAAAAATTGATAAAAATTATTATATTTTGTATCACGATGTACAACTATGTAGAATATATATATATATAAATAAATATATCTAAAGAAAAATTAAAAAACAAATTAATTTCTTCTTCTTGCAATTAAAAATTAAGGGAACGAGATTTATTTTAAAAGTCTTTTTGGAAAACAATCTATTTTTTACATGTATTTGTTTCTTCATTCAGTGGTGGTACGAGTATCCTAATATTTGTAAAACAGTTTATTAACCAACGGTTCACTGTGAAAATGGTTCCTCATTTTTCGCAAACCAAATTAGCTGTCTGTCAGACGTTTTCGTTGTAAATTTTTAATGTTCAGTCAAGACGAAATAATTTATTTCCACAACGGCGTATGTTATATAATTGCAAGTTTGCTATGCAATATAGAGTGGCATGTCAGCTTGCCATACTTAACAGATTCTATAGGGCAATAAAATCATTATTGATTAGGACAAGTCTCTTAATAAGAACAATTTTTTAAAATTAAATTATCACAAAATTTTATATTTTAATTTCAAATTATTAAATTATAATTAAATAAACTCAGTTTAAAATGCTTGAAAAAATTTTTTCTAAATCTATGGAGCGAAAATCATGACTAAAAATTATATATGGGAACTCAAGCAACCCCATAAAATTTTAAAAAATTACGTATAATTTATTTTTGTTTTTCAAATTTTATGTCATTTTTAACTATTTTTAAGCCACATTAAATTATTTGAATTGTTCTTTTCTCATAATATTTTCTTAAACGCTGTTATAATTTTCTCGTTCATTTTCTTGCTTAATATACATATGTGTAAAATATTGCTGGCATTTTTGGATCAGTTCTGAGGCAGAATAAAATGAACAAAAAAAATCAAAACAATTTGAACATAAAAAGGACCAAAAAATAAATAAAGATTATTTTGCTTTTGTTTTTTATAATTAAAAAACCTGAAAAAAAAAAATTAAAAAAAAATTAAAATTGCTCCAGAGAAAAATACAAAATATTTTTCGTTTCACCGAAATTTGCAAAAATATACACAAATGCATACAAATAAAAAAAAATAATTTAAAAATATAATTTAAAAAACTTCATACTATTAAAGGATTTCTTAAAAGAGATCATTAAAAAAACACACAACTGTTATTATTTTATATACCATTATTTACCATTATATAATAACAATAATTTGTTAAAAGGATGGCATTAAAAAAATATTGTGTATTTTAAAGTGAAGGACAATTTTCAGGAATAATTTCATTTTTGATATTAAATAATGATTCGATTATAATAATGAGATATTTTTGGTTTAATACCATAAAATTTTTTCTTTAGTGAAAATATTTTTTAAAAAATTTTTATAAAAACTTTTCACTTTACATGATTTATAAAAATCTGAAAAAAGCTACATAAATAATAATAGGATCAATGTAGAAAGTCCGCATTTTAACTATGATGATCATGGCTATGGGAAGGGTTGGCCGTGTCTGATACAGTGATATACTTCTAAATGAATTTTAAGAATGGCAGTCACCATAAGTCAATACAATTTTAAAATCATTTGCCTAAAATTTCACTCTTATTAGAAAATTAATTTGTACAATTTCAGTTTTGTAGTTTTAAAACTGTCTATATTCAGTTAATTTACGAAATTGTATGAAACAAATTATGCAATTTCAACGAATTTACTTTACAACCTTTTGAAGTTATAGGGATATTTTCGCGATATTGGGTTACTTTTTTGTTAAACTTATAAGATTACTATAATAATACTGATTTCTTAATATTACTAAGAAATACCTAGTGCAGTCGGGCACAAACTGACATCAGATTTGTTAGATGTTCGTAGAAAATGTTTTTTTTTATATTATGCTATTCATTTGGTTAAAATAAAATATTTTGTCGAAACTGTGTTTGCATAACTGTACTTACATTTGTATTGTTATCTTTCTTGCAAATCTTTTTACAGCCAAAAAATATATTTTAGAAGAATAGGGCCTTGTCCGAGGAATTTATTTTCCAATTGAATTTTTCGTTTTTAAGATCGTTCGTTATAGTAGATTTTTCTAAAACATTTTAATATTCAGATTTAGGTACATGCTTTTCATCGCTTAACGATGACAATAATTAGTATTCATCATCATTACTTAATTTTTACTCTTTCAATAAAACTATTAAGCTGTTTTAACAAATTTTTTATTAAATAATTTTCGTAAAACAAACACGTTTTAACTGCGTAAATTTATTCTAAAATTACATAATTACAAATACTATAATTTATGAAAAAAATATAAATAAAGTAACGATAAAAAAAATATTCACCTAACTAAAAAAATTAAAAGTACATTTTAAACCAGTCAATAAATCATATTGATTCAAAATTGTTAATTGCGGTTTTTTCGTTTTATTGAAATTTTTAAATACAACTATTTTTAGCATAAATAATTTTTTTAACAAAAGCTCTTTCTTTTTTTCATAAATTTTTTGTTTAAAAAATGCAAATTACTTATAATGTTTATAATAAAAAATGTGAAAGTGAAAATTTATCGAATTAGCTTAAAAAAATAAGTTATTTTAGATGTACATTATTTATGTGAATGAGTTAGCAACTCAGTTTCGAGGACTTTGGCGCAATGGTTTGTAATCAAGCACTTTTTCCTTTAACAAGTGAAAAAACAAACAATCTAGCTTAGTTATTTACATATTAGAATATTAAAATTACTTTAAAATTAATTCTTTCTTTAAAAAAAATTTAAAGAGGCATTAATATAATGCCCGAATTTAAGAATTAATTGCGTTAGCTAAGAAAAATAGTTATATTTTTTAAGAGCATAGCATTTACCGTTAGTTTTCTCTCAAAAATTTTAATTTTCCAAACTTCGAGAGGCGATAGCTTGAGAGGGGTGGAAGCGGAAAAAAATTTGTTTCTTTCAACGAAATGAAATTTTTATGAATATCTAAAGCCACAAAAATTTCAGACTCCTACAGTTTGAGATCTAGAAGAAAAATAATATCAAGAATTTATAAAAAACGGATTTTAGATTAAGGTAAATTTTAACGGTTATTTTGTTTCTGTGAAGTTCGTAACAATCATAATGGTGACTGTGGTAGAAAATACAATAAATTACCTCAACAAACAACAAAACTATGTTTTTATAAGATAAAATATTTTAAACAAATTTATGCTTTCAACTTTTTAATAATTCTCTCAAATACTATGCATTTTCGAAATTTCAAAAAAAAATTTAAAAGCTTTAGAATATTTAAATAGATGGTGGAAAAATGTACTGAAGAATTACTAAATTTAGTAATAATAATAATATAAAATAACTATAAATTTGTATGTATTAATTTTACACTTACACGTATTAGTGTAGGCAATAAAATTTAATATAGAATCTATAAACATAGATTTTATGTAAAAATTCTACAAAACAGTTTCATTACCTTGCACAACTATCATTTGAAAAATAATAATAAAAGCTACAAAAGTTTAATAATAAAATTTATTATAATAAAATGATAATAAAATTCTGAAACATTCTCTAGGCAAAGGATCTTATGTCGACTTAAGAAAACCGTAAGTCTAAAACGCCCCAGAGCAAATTATATTAACTAGACTCAAGATGATTTGCCGTTTATAAATTTTTACAAGTGCATTTTATCTCATGTCGACTTAAGATGATTTGCCATTTAAGTACAATTAAAAAAATATTCAAAAAAACAAAATGCATAATCTATAATATCTTAAGTTAAAAAATTAAAAATTTAACATGACTTAAGATATTTTGACTTCTGCAGAATTGAAAAATACTGATTTCAGATGGTTTTACCGTGTGCACAAAACGAGACGGAGGGAGTATCGGAGCCTTTTATTCAAAAGTTCTGAAATATATTTTTGCCTTAGATGTTTTGTTTTGCGGGGAGCTGAATAATTACTAAATACCTATTGAAATAGATGAGTTCAATAAGCTTGTAAAAATAATACACTTTATGTTTGCGTATAAATGGTATGATTTGAAATATATTTTATGTATTGGATTTGCATTGACTTTTGTACTAAATAACTTATTCAATTTAAATATTAATTTAATATTAAAAATATTAATTTCAAAATTATCACACCATATTTGATTATGATAAAAATATTGTAATTACAAAATATCATTAATTTTAAATATACTGAAATTTATTTATTTAAAATTCATAATAATAAGGTAAATAATATATTTATTTTTTCAGGTGGGCAAACAACTTGTAACTAAAAGAATGTATGGCATCAATCTATAATAGCTTTATAAATTAAATATAAAACTGAATAAATATTATTAAAAATTAATGCCACCGTTTTTATTGAAAAGTATACAATCATTTGTTTGAAAAACGCAATATTGAATTTTTTTTTGTGTAATTAAACATTATTATTAAAAATAATTATTTTCCTTTTGGTGCGAAAAAAATATTATTAAATAAAATAAATATTTTCATAAAATTAAAAGTTGAAATTTTAATGCAGCAAAATTTTTCTGAATAACATTTTATCAATGTTATTTGTCTCCGCTTCTCGCCGCCCTCTTTTCTTTTTTCTTTTATTTAATTTTATTTAAAAAATATTTAATTTATTTTATTCTTTATAATTATTGCCACGATAGTGAAATGATGATGAAATAAAAAGTAATAATAAAAAAAAATTGTAATAGCATTAAAAATTTGAAAAAAAATAATAAATAATAATTAAAATAATTTTTAAGAAAAATAAAATTAAATAAAATAAAAATTATTTAACAAAAAATAAATAGTAAAAATGCTGCTAATAATGCAATTAAAAGAATCGATTTTAGTATATTTAATCTGTGATTTCATAATAATTAGCTCTATTTTTATTGCCACTACCGTTGCTAGAAATCAACATGGTGGCAGTAATAGTAGAAGTGGCAGTAGTGGTAGCAGTAGCAGTATTGTTGGCTCAAACAGTGGTAACAGTGGTAGCGGTGGCAATATTTTAGAAAAAGATAAACATGGTGAGTGAAATACATTTTTTAGTTTATTGTTATTAATTACATACATATACATACATATTATAAGAGAATTTTATATAATTATACAGTCATATTTACACAAGCATTGGTCGCATCAGTAGAAAAAATTCAAACTTTTGATAGGGAATTTCACTGACAGGGAAATTATTCCTTCTTTTAGCTAATTTCTCCTACGCAGCATCTCGGATGGAACTCAATTTATAACAATAATTCATTAATTTCGATAAATATTTAATTTAAAGAAACTAGAAAGATATCCCTAAATATATGCATTTTTTTTTAATTTCCGCTTTTCTATTTCGTTTAGACTATCATGCGTATAAGCAGGCCCAATACATCTATCAAAACAGAGTTTATTACAGTGATCGTCCTTTTACTACAAAATCTATACCATTAGAAAAAATTTCAACTTTAATCCTGCTATAAATTGAAATTCATTATTCAATATTTTTAGTCCTTGAACTACATATGTGCTATTTTACAAACCATGATTTTTAGTTTCTATATTCTTAATTATAATTTTAATGACTGAAATTTTTTTCAAAAAAGTGAAAAGCGCGTAGCAATATCTATAAGAATTTTAATGAATTTCATTAACTTGTACACTAATCCAAAATACTAAAGACTTGTACGACTTAATGTAATCTTAAGTAATAACATTCGTTATATTTAATTCTAGTTTAACATAACTAAACTATACAAACTGCAACTTTAGTGTTGTTCACTCATGTTTATTATGCAAATTTATTAAAAATACTTGAATATGGTTTGTTGACTTTAAGGACATAATATTATATACCGTATACATGATAAATAAACATGAATATTTTATAATATTGTATAAGAATACTAAATAACTATAATGCATAATAGCAAAAGAAAAGTAAGCATAAAGGGAGTTACATATTGCATATGTGCGATCCGATCGACTTTATAAGCAATATTCTTGTTGTCATATTAAAATTTTAAAATAAAAATTTTCCCTTAGCTATTTTTACATATTCGTATCAAGGAATGTTTGTATATCAATTTCCAATATTATTATACATATTATATAAACATCAACACAGATATGTATGTATTATAAATGTTATATAATAAGTGTATGAATAACATAAAGGAATCTAAAATCCTTGCTTGTAATATTTTGTCCCAATTTTTATTCCTATATATAATATATTCTTTGTGTAGTCTTCTTATATTTTTAATAGTGTTAAAAATTCATTTGGAATTTTATTATTTTTGTTTTCATTTCTTTATACTCTTATATCGTATCCTTGTATTTTATTTATTCTAATAAATATTTATTGGTTGATTTTCATATGTAATTTTCCTATAAACATACATGTGTTTCTTACTTTTGAGGATTTTGAAAAAAAAAAAACAAGTATTTCAGGTTTAACCAATCTGGGGTTTTTGTTATATCTATCCCTTTGAAAAAAATACTTCCCTTTCTTTTATACTTGTTTATTTTCATTAAACTTTCCAGATATAGGTACACAAAATTTTTGTATTCCTAAAACAATATTCACTATCCTTATCGAAAATGTTTTTCTTCTATACCCGCCTACAATATTCTTACACAGATAATTCGATGAAATTTAAAGAATTATAAAATTGAAAAATTTAATATAAGAAAATTTGTAAAATTTGAACGTGAGCACAACCATATTTACCCAAAGAAAAACAAAAATAAAAACGTTTTTCAAAGATGTTCAATTCAATTTTATAGATTGAATAAAATTGTTTTTCTTTAAATTTAAGAGTGGAGTGAGAGTACACAGCAAAAAGGAGCGACTGTTATTATATTGCTATTTTAGCTCTTTCTTTAATAAATCAATAAAAAATTCTTAAACTCTTTTGCTTTTGAGTTTAAAGAAATGTTGTAATATTACATATGAAAGGTTTTTTTTTTCTTTTAGATAAGAAGGAAAAATATCAGTAAAGGATAATGTAAAATGACATAATAATATAAATAAAAAATATAATATTCTGATCGATATGTTATAATAAATGTACGTATTATGTAAGTTGAGTATTATATCTAATAAAATATTTAAAAAAAAGAAATGAAAACTAAAACGGATATTTCATATTCGTACAAATAAATAATGAAAGTGGAAACGATTTCCGTTCTCACATAGCTTTACCCTTATCCTCATTTATTCCACCCTCAATATTTTGTCTGATATTAAATGCTCAAATATCAATTTTATAGAAATTGGTATTGGCATTTAAATTTTGTAGAATATATTTTTATGAAACAAATATGAAAAATTATTAAGTTCAATTAGATTTTTATTGATATGGAATTCCCGTATAGACATAATTCATAGTAATTGGATAAAAATTCAAGACGATTAGAATTTTTCAAGTTTTATCAGGAATAGAAAAACACTTGAAAGTTAAGTAAGCATTTTGAAAATTACAAGTTTTTACAATGATATTTAAATATTGAAATTTTAGTAAACTTTTTTAGCATCAAATTCATATTCAAGCTCTAGATTACTTCTTTGTAAAACAGTTGTTTGTTATGTACATTCAATATACCGGGATCAACGACAAGTTACGAATCATATAACAACCAGCAGAGGGAACAATTCAAACCGTTTCCGAGCTACAGGGATTTTAAAAAATATTGATGAAATTTAACTTACTTTTTTTTTGTTTAAAACTTCTGCTCGAAAAATGTTAGAAGTTTCAAACAAACCGCTTAAAAGAGTACTAAAGTAGAAGGCTTAAAATAAAGAATAGAAGACTATTTGGTTTTACATGCTTCTTTGGAAATACAAATATTCAAACTTTTGGCAAATTACAAATTTCCTTCTTTCTTATTTTTTTTCCCTCGTTTTTGTTCCGACAATTTCTCATCAATTTTTTTGAAACTTCCAAAATATTATACAAACTTATGCCGAGATACTTAAGGTTTAGTTTAAGTCCTCAAATGTTAGAAAGTCTTTTATGGTACAGAAGATATAGCAAAAAAAACCATTTCTGTGTCAAATCTTTAAAGACCTAATAAAATGTGAATTTTCTTTAAAGCCCAAAAAATGTAGTATTTTTCGTCTATTATTAATTTTTGATGACAATAATCACTATAAAAAGAATTGGCATAATAATTTGGGTTACGCCAAATTTGGCATTAAAAATGCTAATATGCTAACACTGATAATAATTGGGTAAAAGCGGAAATTTAAAATCACTAACGTTTCAGAAGCTGTGGGCTCTTCAACGTCGTTCAAATTTATTTACAAATATTCGGGTTATAGAATCTAACCAATCAATTCAAATAAATGCATTGGAATATAGCCTGTTGTTGACTTTTAAAATGATTCTTTTTATTCTGTTTTGAAGTTTTTGCGATTTGTTCCTTTTTCCTTCGTTACATAACTACATATTGATGAACAATAGGGTATATGTGACAGAATTAAACTATTAGATACCCATCCAATACATATTTTGGATATAGATTTTCTAACTCTCGGCGAAGGCAATCACTTTTTTAGATTAATTATTTAATTTTTTAGACTTTTTTAGCCGTAATTTTCCATTTCTACGATTCTTTTAGTTTGCCAAAGCAAATGCCGTAAAAATAAAATTTCATTGAGGCGTTTTAAATTTAATTTAATTCAAAACACAAATAATTGCAGCTTTAGATGTGAATCAAAAGGCAAAATGTCAGGCTGAATGATGTTAGCGTTCACGACAAATTGATGGTGACATTTATATTACTTCCTTACTTTTCATTACTTATCTTTGAAGAAACAGTACTTTGTAGCCTATAAGTTTTAAATAACATCGAATTCAATTCTAATAACTTTTCAGTAACATTGCATTCAACAGAATCTAATCAATGTACACCATAAAAAATATAATAATTTTCCCCTATAAAAAGATTGCTGAAAATCTACATAAAAGAATATTCAAATTTCTTGAAATTAATTTAAATCTGCAACTAATATTAAATGTTATTACTTCCTAAAATTTAAAATTCAATTTTATAACTCAATTATAATCCTTTAACTTTTATTTTTCTTTCTTAAAAACGGTATTATCGTTTTCCTATTACACTTAAGAAAATCAAGGAAAGAAAAACGTTAATGTAAGCCCACAACATCGCAAAGGAACAGTGAAAATCACAATTTTTCATCGTTTGTTGCTTACTTTTTTTTCTTTTGTTTCTTTTCTTCTTGCAGTTGAAGGGAATTTTACCTTTTGTTGTCTTTATCTTTCATTTAATTAATTCATGTTTAAATGTTGTATATAAGAATGTATTTTCACTAACAAGAAAGAAATTTAAATAAATTACCTATTAATAGGAAACAATTTAGTTTGATTCCTTAGCATTATGTTTTATTTCTTGTTTTTATTTTTGTTTTACATTCAAGGGTGTTTAGTATTGGAAATTTATTCGAATATGTCTTACCTTCTTTAATTTTCATTATTGTGTAGTTTCTTAGTATTTTTTTTTTTGAATCAGATTTTACTTAAACATAGTTTTGATCACTTAACTTAGAAAAAATCGTTACGTTTTGCATTTTTAATTTAATTGACTCAACGTGCAGAAAGTACAATAGGTATAAGACATCGGTTAGATAAAAACTTGAAAGATATTTTTAAATAACTCTTTTCTCCCACTTCTTTAAGTATTAATAATTGTAAGAGGAAGCAATGGACGCACTAGATGTATGGGAATTATTATCTTTTAAAGTTTGAGCTTCTCCTATTTTTGATATATTTGTATTATTATAATATTTTTTATAGAACGCAGTTCTTCATACACGCAGTCAATCCAAATTCTTATAAAAATTCAAATATAAGTATATGGAAAAATAAAATATAGACACCAACGACAAATACTGCAGAAAAATGACGGAATGAGATTTATTAAAATAGGATAATCACGCAGTACAAGAAGTGATATTTAAAATATTTATTTTCTCTTACATTAATGTTTTAATTTCAAAAATAATAATGGATGC